AGACAGCCTCTTCCCAATATGCGTTTTTGCAATTTACATATATGCAAAAACGCATAAAAAAATAAACGGTTAAGTATCTCGTTAACGGCTATTTGCGGTAAGATGTGCTATCCGAAGACAGGCTCCTTCGGTTCCCCCAAGGAGCAAATGCAGTGAAATTTTCTAGTTCAAAAGACTGAGTATTGTGTTTTGAAGTTTTAAATTTTAAAAAATGTCGACTTATCGTATCAAAAACTTAGGTAGCCGAAACTGAGAGACCCTTTGCCGAAATCTTGCGCAGCAACCAGGATAAGAGGATCACTGTCTTTGACAAGTAACTGCCGTAAGCTTTCTCGTCTGTATGGGACTTTTGCAGTTCTTTTTTGCAGTCACCGTGGGATCCAGAGATAAAAACAACTTTTCCGGTTAACATCAGTTAAGAATAGTACCTTAGTGCTTTTCGGAAATGTGAGTCAGTTGATGGCTGTCGAATCCTAAAGCAGCAGTGACAGTTCATCACTTCTTTTCGGAATGTGAGGTGCCGCAGATGGTTTCACTGATAAGTAACTGCAGTTAGTTTCTTTCACAGGTATTTAACATATGTTGTCGCGATCGGGCAAATAATAGACTGAACGGTGATCGTTGTCAACTGGCTGATCCAACCAATGGATGCCAGCTTACTCCCGAGGTAAGTGTCAATCATTTATCGTAACCAGTTTTCCTTCTTTTTTTAGCGTTATCCTTGAATGGAGGTCACGAACAGGGAAGGAGGTAAATATCAAGGTGAAAGCAATCTTTTTCGCTTTCTGGCCTTTCAGTTTCCAACTTTTCTTTAGCATGTGAGCCACAGACACTTTTCGCAAATTTAGGTAGGGAAATTAATTTTGTGCACTCAATTTAAAATCGACAAGCTGATAATCGGCCAGGCTAGTAATAAAAGGCAGGCATTAGTGGACTGACTGCATAGATGGTAGAACAGAGACAGTGCTGATGCATAAGAAACTCTTTGATTACTTCAGCAAGCAGATGGACACTGTCCAATAGCAGTGGGGTTAGCTTTTTCTATCATTCAAACTGGGCTGCTTTGTGCGCTTAGCAGTTAGCAGCTATATGTAGAACCAATAAACACTCTTCAAAGCAAGTATATTTTCTTCAGTTTTGCTTATTATACCTTTACTACTTGCCGAGACTTTAATTTTGCTCTTATATTCCCAGAAATTTATTAATTTAATCATCGTAAAAGGTGGAAACGGATAACCGTTAGAGGAGCGTTTGGTGTCCTCGCGCTGGTTGGCACAGATGAAATAGGCTTCAGGGCATGATTTATGGTCTTACCTCTTCCCTGTCACATGCCTCCTGCCTGCCTTCCCACCCTACTTTAAAGTTGTCAGTATTCATGACCTCGACGTAATAGTTTTGAATGAATAAAATTAGAAAATGGTCAGTTATAACACCATTACCAATGGAACTGTGTCATTCAACCTCACCCTTCCCCCTTCCCACTCCTCCCTCTTCCCTCTTTCCTCCCCCCCGTCTCTCACTCCTCTCTGTCCCAGGATATTCATTTCCGGAAGAACTATCAAACGATTTACTTATACAGTGTCCCGCACAGCTATAGTTGTCTCAAAGTTGGGTGGCTAAAATAGGAATGGTTTGAATTACAAGTATGTTTTTAACAAATGTTTAATTTTTTAAGATTTTTTCGTCTTTTTTTTTTGAATTCTACGTTAAGCAGCCGTGTACTGAAAGAGAAGCAGCTACGCTACTTAATCGCCAGAAGCGCCAAAATTTTTTGGAGGGGAGAAGGGGGAAATGAGGAGGGGGAGTGAGAAAAAAATTGATAATTTGAACCAAAGGGCGAAGCTTCTCCAGATAGGATTAAGTAGCGTGGCTGTTTCTTTTTCAGTACACGGCTGCTTTTCATTTTGAAGCAAAATTCAGACTGAAAAAGTAAAGCTGAATGAGCATGAAGAGAGCAAGCGAAAAAATCCATAGAGTTTCATTCTGAAGCAAAATTCAGACTGGAAAAGTAAAGCAGTAAAGTGTCGTGTTGTTGGAGAAATTCGATACGTGGTAATTTTTCGCCCCTTTCGAAGGTGTTACTGTATCAGATAAGACCAATGTATGCACTGATGTTGCAGTGCTAGATTGACCTAAGCAAAAAATGTTCACTTTTTATCACATTCATTTACCTTTGTTTCCAAACAAAAATTGACGCAAAAATGCTTTCCTCAGCCAAATAGTGCAATCCATTTAAGAAAGAATTTTAGAGGTGCGAAATGTTCATATAAAAGGATTAAAATTGCAGTACCGGTAGCAGTAGTAGTAGTAGTAGTGACATTCTGCAAGGATGACTAACGAACGTCCTTGGCCAACCGAGAAAGACGAGAAGTAGCTCTACCGCTTCCGCTCTAGAACAATGGCTCTCCAAAATGTCTTTTCAATGCTTGAACAAAGGATGTGTGTTCTAAGAGACAGTCTGTTCGCGGATTGGCATTGAATCTCACCGAGTGGAACTTTTTGTTTGGGTAACAATTTATGCATAACGACGCACCCAAGACCTGCCAACACATTCTTCCTCCTCTTCTTCAGGGATTCGAAGACAAATATCATTTCATTTTGTAAGAAGTCACTGAAAACATTTCTATAAAGACCAGTCGACACGCCAACTTCTGAGCTCTTTTTCGTTTGCTGGCGACGGGTATGACGCACGACGTCCACTGATTTTAAGAAGGCGATCTACATGTCATGCTTATCAGATTCTACGTCCTCGTTTGGTCCCAATGGCATCTTGCACGTTACCCAACTGGCTCACACATGATAGATTGTCCTATCCATTACTGTTGGCAAATTAATTAAATCGCCGTTGTGATTATTTACAAATTACAATGGTGATAATGGCCGTCAAATCACGCAAACTGCAGCTGTGGAGCATACGAACTCAACAAGGTGCAGCAACTAAATGCTGCACGTAATAATTTTCTGCTGTCATGTCTTGGGTCGCATTACTATCGATTACTCTGCGCTAATTAGGTTAGCAGGATGCTGTGTAATCTTATGGGATAGCGTGCCAGGTTTTAACCTACTTCGGGCTCGCATCTGTGACTAGACATCGCTCAATTACAAAGTGTGGAAGGATTATTATGGCTATGTTAGTAGAAATAATGATAGCAGTAATAATGATAGTAACGATAACAGTAATAACAGCGACAGTAGTTACAATGATAGTAACGTTATGGCAATAACAGTCAAAAATTAAATAATGTGTTTTTGTAGGGTAGCGTGGAGTTCTTACGATGTCGGGCTTACAATTGTACACCAGAGGTAACCACAACAACAACTACCACTACAACAACAACTTCACGTACGCCGTTCCAACATTCTTCATCGGCAGGTCAGATCACTTGTTCAGTTTGAATACCATTTTATTTTTTAGAGAGAAAATGGCTGAAAATCTGATGTCTGCTCAACTCAAAAACACGATGATATTCGTGTCATCTAAAAGCGCTGAGTGTTTTACATCAGCAAATTCGCTTTTTCTGATTTTTTTTTTTTGTTTTTTTTTTTTGATAGACAGACAGTCGCTGAATCGCCAAATGGCATTCCTGCCTGAATTTCTATAAATATCTGCTGCTCTTTTTGCCTGATTCTGAAATGAGTTTTCAGCCCCAGCTATGTCTGTGGATTGCACAGCAGCTACTTTATTTTTCTTTTTGAGGTTTACAGCTTTTTATGCGTTTTTGCATATATGTAAATTGCAAAAGCGCATATTCGGAGGAGAATGCGTGTGAGTGTGTGTGTGTGTGTGTGTGTGTGTGTCTGCGTGTTCGCAATTTTTGTCACCTACTTTCAACTCGAGACCCAGAAAAGCTAGAAAGCTGAAACTTTGGGGGCATGTGCCCATACCATGCGCGACCCTCCCGTTTTAATTTCATTCCCCGTGGG